AGATGGGGATGAGGATGGAGATGGGGATGGGGATAGGGATCGGGATGGAGATGGGGATGGGGGTGGGGAAGGGAATGTGATGAGGACAGGATGGGATGGGGATGGGAATAGGGATGAGATGAGGTTGGAAATTGGATAGAAATGGGGATGAGCTGAGGATGGGATGGGGATGGAAATAAGAGGAATGAGAATAGGATGAGGAAAGAATTGGGATGGAGTGAGATAGGGATTGAGACAGTATGTGAGTGGGATGGGATGGGGACGGGGGTCCTGAATCTATCCCTTAGACAGCAGCTGGCTTCCAGGAGCAGTCACAAAGATACTGATGGGAATGGGGGGCACGGGCCGAGCACTGCCTGCACCTTGCAGCACCGGGACCGCGGCAGTGAACCCGGCGGCTCCTCTGCCCGCTCCTGCCGCGGATCCGGGCCCGGGACACAGCAGCCCTCGGGGCGGGGATGCCCGAAACCCCATCCACGACGTGTTCAGACCGGACCGGGGCGAGAGTCGAGCGCGGATTTCATGTCGCGCAGTGACACCTAGCGGGGCCGGGGGCCGGGAGGGACCGGCTGCCTGCGCTTCCCATCGGGGAAAAGCTGCGCTGCTTTTCCGATGCGAGAGCCCATCCTCGGACCGCTCCGCTTCTGCAGAGCGTCTCTCCTCGCCGCTGTGCGAGATCCGCTGTGTGAGATCCGCTCTTCGTTCTCGGAGCGGTTCCAGGGAGTGTCGGTGGCTGCCCGGGCTTCTCTCGGCTCAGTGAATCATAGAATCACAGAACGGCCTGGGTTGCAGAGGCCCACAGTGCTCATCCAGTTCCAACCCCTGCTGTGTGCAGGTCACCAACCAGCAGCCCAGGCTGCCCAGAGCCACATCCAGCCTGGCCTTGAATGCCTGCAGGGATGGGGCATCCACAGCCTCCTTGGGCAACCTGTTCCAGTGCCTCACCACCCTTCCTCCTAATATTTGAGGGAGGGAAGATTGAGGTTGGATCTCAGGGGGAAGTTCTTTACTATGAGAGCAGTGAGGAGCTGGAACAGCTGCCCAGAGAGGCTGTGGATGCCCCGTCCATCCCTGGAGGTGTTCAAGGCCAGGTTGGATGGGGCCCTGGGCAGCCTGGGCTGCTATGAAATCTGGAGGTTGAGGCCCTGCATGTGGGGGGGGGGGGTTGAAGATTCATCATCCTTGAGGTCCCTTCCAACCCAACCATTCTGTGACTGTGATAATATCTAACCTAAACCTCCCCTGTCTCAGCACACAGCTGCCCCTCAGCAGCCTTCTGAAAATTTCACTTTTAAAGTGCTTGTAGCCATGGCTGTTCCATCCCAGCCTCCAGCTGAGCTCCGGGCCAGCAACCAACACCTCCCAGGACCTGTCGGGTCCTAGGTGCAAACAGTCACACCTTCATCCCCCTCCATTTCTTTTATACAAAGTGCAAAAACTGGTAATAACTGCAGGGTTTGATTCCATTCACAGCGAGGATGGTGCAAAAAGGAGTGTGAAGAAATTGAGCAGAACCAGAGCCAGATTGATGCAATGGGCTGTGCGGTTTATCCATAGGGTCTGAAATTAGCAGCGTGCAGAAATGCAAATGCAGCTGTGGTTGGTCCTAATGCATGCATCTCTGCTACGAGCACCCCTGCTTTGTGCACCCCTCATTTGTGCATCCCTGTTTTGTGCACCCCTGCTGCATGCACCTCTGCTGCATGCATCCCTGTTGGTGCACCCCCACTGCATTTATCTCTCCTTTGTGCATCCCTGTTTGTGCATCCCTGCTTCGTGCACCCCTGGTTTGTGCATCCTTGCTTTGTGTGCCTCTGCTTTGTGCACCTCTGCTTTGTGCATCCCTGTTTGTGCATCCCTGCTTCGTGCACCCCTACTGTGAGCATCCCTGCTGCATTTGCTGCATTCACCCCTGCTGCGTGCATCCCAGCATGCAAAGCAGCGATGCTTCTTAAGGTCAAGACCTGCTCAGATGAGTTTACAAGTGGTATTTGAATGGAACTATTATTAGCAATTAAATGCGAAGCCGTCGAGTAGATTTTTAATAAAATTACTTTTAAAAGGGGATTTTAAAAGGGCATTTTAAATGAAACCAATTTCCTCCAACCCAAACAGGAAGCCCTTTGGATAAAAGCAGAGTTGAACGAGCTGAAGAGCAGGAATGTTAACATACAGATGAGGGAGGAAAAAAATGGCATTTCTTGACATGAAAGAAGGCAGCTCTCTGCAGGATGGAGGGGTACAGCCTCTCTCCTCAGAACGGCCCCTCTCTCAGCCCTGCTTTCTGCCACGTATTGGAATACATGGAATAGAGTGGTTGAAGCAATTTTCAGTGCTGAGTTTTTGATGCTGGCTCTGCCTCACCAGGATGCAGCCCCAATTTTAGCCCTGGTTTGCTCTTCTAAGTGGACGTTCCATGCAGCCCTGCCCTCACAGCCCCAGTGCAATGCTTGGTGGGCTCCCAAAGCATGAGGAGTGACTGCAAGGCTTGTGGCTGTAAATGTGATTCTGTCTTATTTTGGCTGTTAGTCTGCAATAAAATAATAAAACAAAGGAAATAAAATTCTTTAAAATAAGGAATAAAAGAAATGCAGTGATTTTGTTTAAGGGAAACATCTGCCAGTTGTTACTGAAGGTTGGTGAGAGCTGTCACTCTCAGCCTGCAGAAACAAATCCCTGCACACTCAGCCAGGCTGCGAAGTTGGACATAATCTGATGATATTCAATTGGGCTTTTATTCAGTTTTTCAGCTCCTCAGCCTGACTTCATTCACAGGGCAGTGGAGGAGCTCTCTGCAAGGAGTGGA